ATAGAATAGGAGGGGATACTCCCAAATTCATTTTATGAAATAAGAAAAACTGTGATATCATAGATTAAGATACCACTAAAAAAGAGAATTATAGACCAATATCCCTCATGAACATAGATTCAAAATTTCTCAACAAAGTTCTAGCCAACAGACTCCAGGAAAATAGCAAAAAAAAAAAAAAAAAAGTACCATGAGCAAGTGAGATTGATACCTGGTATACAAGGATTGCTCAACATTAGAAAAACAATCACCATAATACTTCACATAAACAAAAGGAAAATAACCATGTGATCATTTCAACAGAAAAGACATTTGACAAAATCCAACACCCATTTCTGATAAAAACATTGAACAAAATAGGAATAGAAGGGAACTTCTTTAACATAACTAAGTACATATATTCAAAAATAATGGCCAGTATTATTCTCAATGGAAAAAGACTGAAAGCATTCCCCTTATGAACAGGTACAAGACAAGAATGCCCTTTATTACCACTCCTATTCAATGTTGTGTTGGGAGTCCTTGACAGAGTATTAATGCTAGAAAGAGAAATAAAAGCACTGACTTTATAATAACCACCCAAAAGTTGAAGTACTTCAGAATAAATCTAACCAGAGAAACAAATGGCCTGTACAAAAAGAAAAGATAAAACTACAAAATAGTATTACAAGAAATCAAAAGAGACCTATATGAATGGAAAACTATATCATATTCATGGTTAGGAAAACTTAACATCATGGAAATGCCAAAACTAATTGTTCTAATTACCTAGTGCCACTGTGACAATAAAATACCACAAATGGGATAGCCTTAACAGTTTATTGTCTTACTGTTTGGAGGCTTTACGTCCAAGTTCAAAGTGCCAGGCTCTAGGGGCTGGGCGAAAGCCCCTCAACCTTGGAGTCCAGATCTGCCTCCTGCTCCCAGTCCACTGGAGCTAGAGACATTTCTTCACTCAGACATCTGCTGGTTGCTGGGGCTGACAAACCCAAGGTTGACAAATAAAAACACACAGTTCTGACTTTACCAAACCACATGTCAGGCCATTAATTTAAGTCCATTGTGAATCCCAAGGTCGACAGAGCATGGCAGGGTGCTGAACAATGCCATGGCTACATGCAGGGTCCAAGCATACTAAAAGCTTAAGGCTGAGGCAGCTCTGTTTCCCATTTCCTTGGTCTCTCTGCTTCTGCCAATTAATCCCTGAGAACAATGCACTCCGGCAGAAATCTTCCTGCCCCAATAAAACACTCAGCTTTCTTATTCCATGGGCTGGCCAATCTGCTACTCTATCTCATGCTGGTCTCTCCCACCTATTAATGTCCAAAGATAACCCACTCCACCAGGAAGCCGCCTACCCAGTGGCACCCAGCTTTCTCCTCCATGGGCTGGTAAGCCAGTTGCTGTTTAATGCCGGTCTCTGGGCTCGGCTACTACTGTCTCTCATGCTAGTCTGTCTGCCGGTACCTCTCTGCCAGTGTCTTGGCTCTGCACCTGCCATCTCTCATGCCATATGCCAGGGTCTCTCTGCCAGTGTATCAAGTCAAGGAAACACTCCACTTCTGTTTCCACATTTTAGGTATCTGTCAGAGCAGCACCCCATTCTTGGTACCAAATTCTGTTTTGGTTACCTAGTGCCACTCTGACAAGAAAATACTACAAATGGTATGGCCTTAACAAACAGGAGTTTATTCTCTTACAGTTTGGAAGCTTTAAGTCCAGGTTCAAAGACTCTAGGAGCTGGGTGAAAGCCCTTCAACCTTGAAGTCCAGCTCTGCCTCCTGCTCCCAGTCCACTGGAGCTAGAGGTGTTTCTTCACTCAGACAGCTGCTAGCTATTGAGGCTGGCAAACCCAAGGTTGACAAATAAAAAGGCACACTTCCGATGGTATCAAACCACATGGCAGTCCATTAATTTAAGTCCATTGTAAATCCCCAGGTCAGCAAAGCATGTCAGTCTGCTGAACAATGACACGGCTACATGCAGGTTCCAAGTGTGCCATTAGCTAGAGACCATTCCCAAATCTGCTGCTTATATATGGGAAGGAGACCACAAACCCAAAGGCAGCTTCTCAGCTGTTAACAGTAGATTTCACCATAGAGTTGATTACCAGTCTCATCATGGGGAATACTAAATCCAGCTGCCCAGCCACTCAACCAGGCCTAGCCAAGTTGACACAAAAACATAACCACGACACTAATCAAAACAAAATACCTTATGTGTAGTTAAAGTGATTTCCATCTCTCTCTTTCTACCTGAAAGAACTGAAGTAAAAATTCAAGCCTCACATTGCAATATTGAAGGATTCTGCAAAGGCAAATTATTGAATGATTTAGGAAGTAACAAAAGAAGATAGAAGGAATATACAGAGGTACTCTACCAAATGAAATCATTAACTTTCAACCATTTCATAACATATAATCAATAAGAGATGATATTGAAGGAAAAAATTTCTAGCTGCACTAAAGGCATTAGTGAAAAACAAGGTTCCAGGAATTGGTGGAATAAAAATTGAAATGTTTCAACAAAAGAATGCAACACTGGAAGTCCTCACTTATATGATCCATGAAATTTGGAAGACAGCTTCCTGGACAACAAACTGGAAAATAGAGAAATATTTGTGCACATTTCAGAGTGGTGGTACAACAGATAGTGGACATATTAAACATCATTAATATCACACGCAAGTAAAATTTGTATAACATAATTAAAAAATTGCAGCAGTGCATTGACAGAGAATTGTCAGATATTCAAGCTAGATTCAGAAAAGTATGTGGAATGAGAGATATCATTGTTGATGTCAGATGAATCTTGGTTGAAAGAAGAGAATACCAGAAAGATATTTGACTGTATTTTATTGACTAAGCAAAGGCATTCAACTATGTGGATCACAGCAAATTAGGGATATCATTGTAAAGAATGGGAATTCCAGAAAACTTACATTTGCTCTTATGGAACATGTGCATAAACCAAGAGGCAGTTGTCCAAGCAAAACAAGCACAGCCAAAATGCTCTTTAGAAACAAGAATGACAAGACTTCATCTTATGTACTTCAAATACATTATCAGGAGTAGCCATTCCCTGGAGAAGGTCATCATGCTTGGTAAAGTAGAAAGTCAACAAAAAAGATGAAGACCTCAGTGACACGATTGACTCAATGGGCTACAACAATGGGCTTAAGCAATAGAAAGATTGTTAGGATAGCACACACCTGGACAGTGTTTCTTTCTGCTGTGCATAGGATTGGTATGAGTCAGAATGGATGAACAACACCTAATAACAACAATCTTTATGAAAGCAGATCACTACTTCTATCTCCCATGGAGTGACTAGAGGGTTCACACTGTTAGAAACTAGTGCTTAACAATTGCAACACTAGGTCTCCTTAAATCTTGCATAGTGGTATATATATCTCCCATAACTTATAACTTGGAAAGTAGTTTATGGTTTTTAAAATGTGCTGTGTAATCCTTATTTTATAAAGCAAGAAAATAGACTCTCAGACTTCAGCAAATGATTTATATACACTAAGTGGTTTTTAGAGGAGAATACGGCTCAGAAATTTCATCAGTGCAGCAAATGATGGTGGAGTCACACTGACTTTTCGTACTGTGTGCAGGATGTGGTAAAATAATATCAGTATCCATTGGAGTAAAAGCAAAAATAATTCAAGAGACTTTTCAAATAATCTGTACTCAGAGTTGTTGTCAGATTCAAACACATTCAAATCCATGACTGTGGAACAGAAATTTGGAGCAGCTAAAGGAGAGCAGAGACATGTTCATTTACAGATATTAAGAACTTTGTGATAAAATTCAAACATAGTATGCAACTGACAAAACTTATAATCAGTTTCCACATTAAGATTTAGTTATGTTCATAATTTTCTAGCAATAATATTAAATGGATAGTTTTTGATACATAGACCCAAACCCACTATCATAGAAACCCAGTAGGACAGAGTAGAACTGACTTACAGGGTTTCCAAAGCTATAAATCTTTACAGGCAAAAATTGCCTCATCTTCGTCCTGCAGAGCAGCTTTTGCTTAGCAGCCAAATGTCTTATCCACTATGCATTGGTATAGGTACCTTGAGTAAATTTGATTATACACACCAATACAAGTGGGAAAAGTAGCTACACAGGTGAGGATCACATGAAGCTCAGAAATAGGCCCATTGAGACAAAGCAGAGATTGAGCAACCAAAGAGGCTGTGCATGACATGTGGAATTTCCTCAGGATCAGGCTTCTTTTACTGGAAATACCTGCCAGCTCTCAAGTCTTTAGCTTCTTCTATGTGTGGATTTATTGAGTCTTGAGATCAGTTTCTGAGATCCCTTATACCCAGAGCTATAGTGTAAGAAAAAGAAAAGTATTTTGGTTTAAATTAATCTATGACAGAGATTTTTCTAAGATTGCCATTTAATTCAAGTTTTAAAGTATAAAAGTAGTTGCCTAATATGGCCAGTATAAAAACTAATACATAGAACCTTTATACAAGAATGTATATGCCAAAATTAAGAGATTGTATATTCACCAAAATCCAGAGTAATTGTTTTTCTTTTGTTGTTGTTGTTGTTTCTAAAAATCTTTATATAAAGAAAATTCCTACAGAAAACATAACTCCATTTTCCATAGGAAAGAAAAAAATAATTAATTTTATTCCTTAATAAGCATTTAAGTAGAATATATATCCTATATAATCCATGTACCAAAATATTTACACTATCCCTTATAATTATTTTAAAATGTGTGAAATATCCATTGATTTATATTGAAGAAACTGCTGAATTGCAGATAAGGGAGAAAAAAGTATAATATTTGCATAATATCACAGAGTGACTTGAATGTACAGTAAAATATCCCATATGGTTTGCTTTATTAACATAACACAACTTCACAGATTGATCTCCTGCCAGTGATATGTGAGCCACTGAGTTTTGTTATAAAGGTTTCTGTTAATTTTATTTTGAACTTTGAAATGTGTTTTCGTCCTTAAGGTCTGGGAATTGGGAACATGTTCTATGTTTTTTATGAAGATGGAATCAAAGTGATACAACCCATTGAATGTGAATTCCAGAGACATATTAAACCTAGTGAAAAGCTCCTTGGATTTCAGGCAAGTATTGAAATAACTCCTTTTCAGTTTAATACAATTAGTTTAAGTAAAATTATATTTTGGAAATACAATGGAATCTATACACCTATGAGGCTCTTATTAGGAGGAAAATGTTAACCTATAATATTATCTGTTACTCTATGCAGGCTTTATGTGGGGAGAAACAATATATTGTTTATTCTAAATTTTTTGTTTGTAATTAAAATGAAGGTTCTAGAAGTTAAAACACCAGGAATGAATGCAATCCAAAGTAACATCACTTGCTCTCTAATTTTATATATCTCCCTCTTTGTAGACAACGTTGGGTAACAGCATGGAATACCTCTTTTATTTGTTATGAGGTCTCAACGGAATAAATGATATAGATTTATATGGAAAATGTTAAGTCATTTATGTATTTACTTGTAAAATTTTAATCTGTAAAATTCCATTATTACATGCAACAAATTAAAAGAAAACAACTCTGGCAAAAAATAAGACATCATTTATTCATATTAGGTAATGCCTTGTTTTTTATAGGTTGATAAGAAATTATTATTTTCATACAGTCATGTCTATATACCCCATCACATAAATACTTGTGTTGCAATATATGTACTACTAAAGGTAACTATGTCTGCCAAAGGAACTCAAATATACAAAATAACATAAAGTATCAGAAAGCCATGTCTATGGTATATTACAAAAGTTAATATTTAATGCCATAGTTCAGATTCTTATTTCCCACTCTTCCTTTCAGCCTACCAGTAGCTAGAAAGCTAGAATTGCTATTTTATATTGATCTCTCTCTCTCTCTCTCCTCTCTCTATCTACCTACATATATATATATATATATATATATATATATATATATATATATATATATATATATATATATATATATATATATATATATATATATCAGAATAGCTTCCTCTTAGATAATCTAGGGAAACAAAATCGAATGCCTTTTTACTTAGATAAAGGAAAGAACATTTCTTTCTTTATTTCTTTTATTTATTTAAACTAGAAAACAATTTTTAAAATCACAACATATTTTTAAAATAATGAAACAATTGTGAGTTTAAATGAATATCAGTTACAGGAAAAATAACTAAATAGACGTGTGACCATCTTAAATAAGTTACAACTTAACAAGAAGTACAAAATAATTTTAAATTTCACATGCAATTTTATTTTCTTTTATAATGTACTATCTATACCTCACTGTCATCAAGTCAGCTCCTACTCATTACGACCACTCCTTGGGTTTCTGAGGCAGTATCACTACAGATGTAAATTGCGCAACCTTCCTTCCTATGAGTGGCTGGTGGGTTGAAGCGCCATCCTTCTGATTAGTAGTCAAATGCCTTAGGCACTATGCTACCAGATTTCCCATACTATCTATACTAAATCTATTTTTTGGATAAGGTGCTTGTATATGGATATACATGATATGTGTAATAAATAGATATTAATCATATACATAAATACTTGGTTTTGATAAACCAAACCATTTAAGTTTACAACACATTCATTTATTATATATTGTTCGATCATTTTTCATTTATGTAATTTTCATTACATGAGATAAATTAAATAACTAGAACATACACATTGTTGTTAGGGCTCTATGGAACCCTGGTAACACAGTGGTTAAGCACTCAGATGCTAACCAAAAGTTGGCTGTTTTAACCCACTACTTCCCCTGTTGGAGGAAAATGTGGCAGTCTGCTTCTATAAAGATAACAGCCTTGGAAACCTTAGGGGAGAGTTCTACTCTATCCTATAGGATCGTTATGAGTCAGAATTGACTCATTAGCAATGAGTTTGAATTTTGGGGGGTTTTAATTACTGTAGAGTCTTTCAAATCTTGCCAACTTTGTATAAAACAGATAAAAAAAATGTACCATCCTCATGATCATTGAAGCATTTGAACATGATACACTGAATCAAATACACATAAATATGCAGTAGTAGAGTAAGAAGTTGGAGGTTTACAGCTGTTTCTCCTCATTTTGAGTTATGCCACAACAGCAAATTAATATCCTGAAAACTACTCCATCCACACCATGAAAGTCAACTCTACCTTGAGGAGGCAGCTCTTCCCCAGTTGTATTTTGAGTGCCTTCCAACCTGACAGGCTCATTTTCCTGCAAACATCCAGGACTGTGGAATGTAAAAAATGTGAATCTAACAAAATTGGAACTTGTCAAAAATGATATGGGATGCTTGAAGATCTATTTCATAGGCATTAATGAGTTGAAATACACTACTATTGGCCATTTTGAATCAATCCTACAGTCTACTGTGGGAAGAATGACAAATTAAAGTGGAATGGCATCATATTCATTTTCATAAAGAACATTTCAAGATCTATTCTGAAATACAGTGCTGGCTGTCAGTCATAAGATAATATCCATATGTCTACAAAGGCAACCAGTTAATATGAATATAATTCAAATTTATGTGACAATCACTAATGTCAAATATGAAGATATTGAAGATTCTTACCAATTTCCACAGTCTGAAATTAAGCAAACATGCAATTAAGATTCATTGTTTAATGACTGGTTATTGGAATGTGAAATGTGGATACAAAGAAAAATTATCTATCAGTAATTGGAAAATACAGCCTTGCGAAATAAGTTCAGAGATCAAATGATAGACTTTTGCAAGATCAATAACTATTAATTTTGAAATACCTTTTTTCAATAATGTAAATGACAATTATACCTTACTGAATGGGATACACTGGAGTCAAATCTACTCTATCCGTGGAAAGAGATGATAGAGAAGCTCAATATTCTCAGCCACAACAAGGCTGCATAGCAGACCATCACTTGCTCATCTGCAAGTTTAAATGGAAGCTGAAGAAAATTAAAACAAGTCCAAGAAATCCAAAGTACAACCTTGAGTATGTATTACCTGAATTTAGAGGCTACATAAAGAATGAATTTGACACACTGAACACTAATGACCAAAGACCAGATGAGTTGTGGGATGAATCAAGAATGTCAAACATGAAGAAACCAAGTGGTCATTAAAAAGACAGCAAAGAAAGAAAAGACTAAAATGGATGTCAGATGAGACTGATATTTGCTCTTGAAAGTAGCATGTTGTTGTTGTTGTTATGTGCCGTCGAATCAGCCCTGACTCATAGCGACCCCTCCTTGGGTTTCCAAGGCAGTATCACTACAGAAGTAGGATTGCCCAACCTTACTTCCGAGGAGTGGCTGGTGGGTTTGAACCGCCAACCTTCTGGTTAACAATCAAGTGCTTTAGGCACTATGCTACCAGAGCTCCTGAAAGTAGCATAGCTGAAGCAAATAAAATAAATGATAAAGCAAAAGAGCTGAAAACAAGATTCCAAAAGCTCAAAAAAAGACAAAGGAAAGCATTATAATAAAAATTGCAGACTTGCAGTTAGGAAACCAGAAGGGAAGAAAACAGTTGACATTTCTCAAGCTGAAAGAACTGAATTGCATAATTGAAGGATTCCATATGAAAAAAAAAAAAAAAAAACAACTTGAAACATACAGGAAGCATAAAAACAAGATGGAAATATATAGAATCAATGTACCCAAAATAATTTTTGTTAAGTTATTTTAAGAGCTGTCCTATGATAGAGTGCTCATGGCACAAAAGGAAGAAATCCAAGCTGCACCAAGGGCATTGGCCAAAATCAAGGCCCAGGAACTGATAGAATGAATATCAGTTAAGCTGTTTCAAGAAAGGAATGAAGCACTGGAAGTGCTCACTAGTCTATGACAAGAAATTTGGGAGACAGCTGCCTGGCCAATCGACTTGAAGAGGTCAATATTGGTGCCCATTCCAAAGAAAGATGATTAAGTAGAATCAAGTAGAATGCAGAAATTATTGAACAATATAATTAATAACACAGACTATTAAAATTTTGCTGAAGATAATTCAAAATATTGCAGCAATACATTGATCCTAGAATTCTGGAACTGCCAGAAATTCAAGCTAGATTCAAAAGAAGATATGAAATGAGACACATCCTTGATGTCAGATGGATCTTGCCTGAGAGCAGAGAATACCAGGACAATGGGGATCTGTGTTTTATTGACTATGCAAAAAAAAAAAAAAAATCCACCGCATGAACCATAACAAGTTATGGGTAACATAGGGAATAATGGGAATTTCAAGACACTTGTGTTCTTTTGCAAGCTGTCCAAGAGGAAGTCATTCATACAGAAAAAGGCTATATACTACATGATTTTAAATCAGGAAAGGTGTGTTGAGCATTGTATCCCTTCACCATGCTTATTCAATTTGTATGTTAGGTGAATGATCTAAGAAGATGGAGTATATGAATAAGTTTGCTCAAATTTGGGGAAAAAAAAAAAAAACTGGTTAACAACCTTGACATGCAGATGGTACAACCTTCCTTGTTGAAAGTGAAGAGGAATTGAAGCAGATCAAAGACTACAATTTCATTATGAATTGTGTCTCAATGTAAAGAAAACAAAACTCTTCACAACTGAACCAATAAGCAACATCTTGATAAACAGAAAAAATATTGACATTGTCAAGGATTTCATTTTACTTGGATCCACAATCAATGCACATTATATGAATGTGAAAGTTGAATGATGAATAAGGCAGACTGAAGAAGAATTGATCCTTTTTGTTGGTGAAGAATATTGAATACATCATAGAGTAAAACAAACACATCTGTCTTGAAAGGAGTATAAACACAATGTTCCTTAGAAGCGAGGCCTGACTTATGTCCAATAATTTAGACATGTTATTGGAAGAAGATGATGTCCATGGAGAAGGAAATTATGCTGGATAAAATAGAGGGTCAGCAAAAAGGAGGAAGACCTTCAATGAACAGGATTGATACTGTGGCTGTACATTGTGAGGATGGCTCAGAACCAGGGAGTGTTTCATTTTATTGTACTTTGGGTCTCTATAAGTCACATTTGACCTGGCACTTAACCCAACAACAAAATAATAGGAAGCACATTGATTGTGTTACACTTCGAGAATTAATA